GTTTCTGTTACTTAACTTCTTAACCGTAAATTAAAAATTAAATTTGTCAACTAACTAACTTGTAAAATTAAAATTCAAAACTACCCTTTACTAAAAGGGTACACTTCCTGCTTACAATAACTGGGTGACAATTAAGTCTCCCCACCAGGAAGGAATCCAAAACTATTGTGGAGGTAATGTTAAAATAAGTTTCTCCCTTAAAAAAAAAATTAATCCGAGCTTTCCAGCTTCCTCCCATTGAGTTGTGATGTTCATTCCAGTATTAATAACTTTAGACTTCAATAGAGAACATTTCCCTTTCTTTTATGTTATTGTGCGGTATTAATCTCAATAAGACTTACAACTTGGTAATCAGTAAAAAGTTATCACATATGTCTTAAATCATAAATATAGTGTCTTAAACACACTCAGTAACATCAAATACTAATAAAATATAACTATAAATCATATGTAGGTGACTTCACTTCAGCTACCTTTACTTACAAGGTTAAATTTTAAACAGAGCTTTCTGGCATTAATTCATGCTTGATATTAGCTCTCTCAAATATTTAGAATTCTTGTGAATACCATTATCAAATACCTAATAAATAAAACTATAAATCTTGATTAGGTGCTTACTCTTCAGCAACCTGTATTTAAAAAATTAAATTTTAAACTGTGCTTCCTAACATTAATTCTCACTTAATGTTAGCTCTCTGAATTATTTGAATTCCTGGTAACACTATTATTACAATATCAATAAAAATTAGCTTCCCTTATAGTCAGTGGGTACAATTATCCCAAACTCCCTCTATAGCCTCAGGTAACTTATGACTTTAAATAATAGCTAGTTGTGTTTTCTTCTGCTTCCTTTACCTAGACATTATTATTTAAATTGTGCTACCTTGCACTAATGCCAGTTTAATACTTTCATTCTCAGTTGTTTTCCTCTCTCACTTTTTTTTTAAAAAAAGAAATTCTTTAAACTCCAACATATAAACACCATTAGATATTCCCAAGCTTTACATTGCAACCATTTGAATACTAATATGTGTATAAATATACACTTTTAACTATAAAGCTAGTAAATCAGAAATCGCTTCGTATTACTAAAAAACAGCATTAACAATTTTTCCATTTTCTTTAACTTGAGTTCAGTAGCAGTGTCACAGTTCCAGTAGGATCTTTAGAAATATTCAAGCTGCTTCAGTATTTCCCTCTTCCTCTGTTGTTAGATCAATTCCCAACGTTGCTAGCAGCCTTTTTCCAGAGTCATAATCTGTGGCCTGATGAAGAGCACCGTTCTTATATACTTGTATATTCGAAGCCTGGCTCCATCGGAATTTTATGTGTGCCTTAAACAGTTTGGTGGCAATTAGTTTAAGGGAACGTCATTTCTCAAGTGTTTCTACGGAGAGGTCTAATAACACGATTATTTCCCCATCTTTGTATGGCAAGGCTCCCTGAGATCTTGCCTCCCTCAATATTTTATCTCGCGTAGAAGAATACAAAAATTGCGCCATTATGTCCCTTGGGCAGTTTCTACGGGCTGATGCCATAGGGCCCAGCCTTTGTGCCTTTAATATAATTGGGGCTTTCCCTTCATCCAAATTCAAGACTTTGGCCAGCCATGATGAGATAAAGTGTGTAAGGTCTTTACCTTCTTCCTCGCCTCCTTCAGACCTCTAAATTTTAAGTTCATTTGTCGCCAGCGCTGTTCGAGCGAAGACACTCTTGCGGTCAGTTGTTTTTCCGAAGCTTGGGCGTTCTAGTTTTCTTCTTGCAGAGTTAGCGCCAATTCTGCTGTATTTTCAGCGATTTTTGTTGTTTCCTTCAACTCACGTGTTAGTTCGCTGAGTTGATTTTGTAGTGGTTGAACGATCTCGGCTACCATGGTTGAAAGCGATTTAAGCAGGTCATCTTTTAAATCGCATAAGTCTTTTTTCGTAATTGGTGAGTTCGGCTCCGGCGATCTGTCCCGGGGTTCTCCCGCTTTTTCGGCCGCCATGTTTTCGCGGTCTCGTTCTTGAGTAACGGCCGAGGCAGTTGCAGCGTCCCTGGTGAAGTACGCTCGTACTGATTTGTTTTGAGTTGAGTTTTTCGTTGTTCTTCCTTTAAGAGGTTTTCCCATAACTTTCCTGAGTGTTTTTTGGGAAAATGTTCCGATTTTCGTGGTTTTTTGGGAGGTTTAGGCTGGGAGCTCTAATCAAGTGCGTCCGCCATCTCCTAGCGTCGCTCCGCCCCCCCCAAATGTTGTTCGTCTTTAAGGTGCTACTGGACCCCTGCTCTTTTCTACTGCTGTGGACAGGAAGAGCAAGTTGCTGGGGCCGCGGTCCCCACAATGCCACTGAATGCCTGAGGGCTGCTCAGGCTATGTGAGCAGTCACAACAGCACCCAGCCAGCAAATGAGGCCTCAAGGGCTTGTAGTTCCTAACCAGGAGCTGTTCAGACTGCTGCTCCCAACTACAATAGTCTCACTGACAGCGCAAATCTATGCAGACTTATTACAATCTAAACCCACTGAAATCGTTGGGCTTAGATTAGAGCAATTCTGCACAGGATTGCACTGTGAAAGAACCACAACAGCAGAAAAGAGCAGTTTCTGGACCCCAACGTGGCTCTGGCTTGTGGAGGCTGAGGAGATGAAACTGGCATCTACGTAGCTTCCTGCCATGCTGTACCAGAATAACATTATATATCCTACTGTACTGTTTACAATGAATACATTCCAGTTGTTTTTATAGTTAGTGACATGAGCTGTATGCACAGCTCCATCAAAGCCAACACAGTTAGAGGAAAAATAGGGTGAGTACAGAGGTCCACTGAAATAGAGGGAAATTAAACTCCCTCTGTTATTAATGCAGATTGCAAACCTTCCAGGCAGCAACTGCCTCATGTCAAGATAATGCACTGCACAATGCTGGCACTAAATAAATGTTAAATAGTAGGCGCAACTGCAGAATCTCTTTCATACATAATGAAAGATCAAAGACTTCACATTTTAAAACAATGGCTGAGAATTTTACCTACATGCAATTGTATGAATAACCACAGAATTCATGAGACTTACAGCTATTCTTTTCAGTAAGGGATTTAAAAAAAAAATTATTCTGCAACAAGAACAAAATCTTGAGAAGCCCAGCTTGTGGTCTACCATGCAGCCTTATTCTCCGCATCGGCTACTACTACCCTGTCAACACCTGCAGAAGATGAAACCTACCAATGAGTCCAAAACTCCTCAGATTTTGGCTGGTCTTGGTAGACAGCTGAAATTTGTGACCACCACCACCACCCTGTCCCATGGTTCCCTTGGACACTCTACTGGGCTTCAGGTGTGCCCAAAAGCCGTGAGAAGTGTTCCTGCTTTGGAGAGTCCCCCTCCAAAGCCTTTCAGTACCGCAGGGATGCATCACAGCCCATCTTTCTAGATGGATCTTAACTTCTAAGGTAGGAATCACTGCACTACGAAATCTTTGCAAAAATACTGGAAACAGAAATGTGTCTTTGGGAGAAAAAGAACTCAAATGAAAGAAAAATATGCAAGATTCTATCAAGAAGAGGAAGAAGAAGAGGAGGAGGAGGAGGTGATTGGATTTATACCCCGCCCTTCACTCGGAGTCTCTGAGTGGCTTACAAACTCCTTTCCCTTCCCCTCCCCACAACAGACACCCTGTGAGGCAGGTGGGGCTGAGAGAGCTCTGACAGAAACCACTGTTTTCAAGAACAGCTCTTATCAGAACTTATGGTTTGCCCAAGGTCATCCAGCAGGTGCAAGTGGAGGAGTGGGGAATCAAACCCGGTTCTCCAAGATTAGAGTCCGCGCACTTAACCACTACACCAAACTGGCTCTCAATATGATTTTGTGTGGTTGATTATGGAAACTCCCAAATTGTGGAATCACTGATCTGGGCTGTTTTCTTACACAGTTCACAGTTCTTCAATGCTCTCTGCCCAGGATTCTTTTCAGAAAATGCATCTCAGGGATGAAGGAAAAAAGAGCAGTTTGTCAAAGACTCTGCAAGTGAAAAAATGTTAAAACAACCCCAACTTTCATGCTCCTCTACAGGAAAAAATATCTCCCCCCTCCCACATACAAACGACACAGGCTGCAGAGAGAGAGAAATGACTGGTGGACTTGTTTTTAGCAAAATTACAAGCAAAGAGATGTTCCTAACTGGTTGGCACTAAGAGCAAAATACAATTAAGCCCTTATTTTTGTTTGGTGTGCTCTTTTTGCTTACTGCTAATAATGACTTGCTGGATTGCTGCAAACTGGGACATACTTCTTCTTCCCTCTATGCTATCTTGCCCTGACCTGGATGGCCCAGGCTAGCCTAGTCTCATCAGATCAATACAAGAACCCGTGGGCACTCAACGAAATTGCTGAGCAGTCAGGTTAGAACAGATAAAAGGACGTACTTCTTCACCCAAAGAGTGATTAACACATGGAATTCACTGCCACAGGAGGTGGTGGCGGCTACAAGCATGGACGGCTTCAAGAGGGAATTGGATAAACATATGGAGCAGAGGTCCATCAGTGGCTATTAGCCACAAGGTATAGATAGGGACTCTGGGGCAAGTGATGCTCTGTCTTCCTGGTGCTTGGAGGGGGGCAACAGTGAGAGGGCTTCTAGTGTCCTGGCCCCACTGCTGGACCTCCTGATGGCACCTGGGATTTCTGGCCACTGTGTGACAGAGTGTTGGACTGGATGGGCCTTTGGCCTGATCCAACACTGGCTTCTCTATGTTTTTAAGCTAAGCAGGGTCAGCCTGGTTAATGTTTGGATGGGAGACCACCAAGAACTACCAGGGTCACTACGCAGAGGCCGGCAATGGCAAACCACCTCTGAATGTCTCTTGCCTTGAAAACTCTATGGGGTTGCCACAAGACAGCTGCAACTTGATGGCACTTTCCACCACCAGTATGCTATCTCAGTGCTAGAACCAGTCTCCTTCTGGCAAGAGCTGCAGTGGTTGGCGAAATCTTAGCCCATTATCATCATGTCTCTTCTTTACTCACTCAGCAAACTCTTCTTTACACTTCTGCAGAAGCTCCTGTGCCTTCTGGATTTCCTGCTCATTCAGGAGCACCAGTGTCCCAATGGTCATGTGGAGCTTTGCTGGGTTTTGGAATAGACTGCTGCTGACACCACAGTCCTGGAAAAGAGTTTAAAAACTGCTCAGGTGACAACAGCACAGCTTGGAATCTCTGCTGTAGGTTATTAAAGCCCTTTGCATATTTGAAGTTATGAACCTGCATATCAATTGCATTTCTTTGGAGCTCAAAGCGCATTCAGGGGCATGGTTGGCCATGACTCATGCATGCTTTCACCATAGTTGCCCCACAACTAGGGAATGAGCACCCCCTGGAGGTATGAAGGATTGTATCCCTGTTAGCTTTCACTGAAACCTTTTCATTTCATAGGACACATAAATGACATTTCTAAGAAATATTTGGCATCTGGACTGAAAATTTGTATACTGTGATCTAATGTTTTAAGTAACATTTTTTAAAGCTGATGCACAGTTATCTGTCTTGGGTTCTGAGGAGGAGGAAAGGTGAGTTATAAATGTTTTAAAATAAATAAATAGCCCCTGAAGACCACAAGTCACAATGGATGCAATGCATATTTAAACTTTCATATGGTAATAACAAAAAACAGGGCAGATAAAACCCAATGAACTAAAAAATGTCCAGCTAAACATGTTCAAATTAAATAACATCATCTCTATCATTTGCTGATTGCGTAACTTTACAAACATTAGCTCTTGTGTTTAAAAGCAGATAGTCTGCAGTAATAATTGCCAGCGTGTTAATTTATTTGCACTTTTAAAAGTTGAGATATAATGCACCCTAGGAAAAATTGGGGATGATACAGGTAATCTGTACCCTTCTATAAGTCACATTTGAAGAAATAATGCAATGCATAATGCCACATGTACAGTAATGTAAGTTGTGATAGCCTTCTTGCACTGCTGACGTTAGCACAGAGAGCGCTCTGCCAATGTTTAAACACTCAAGATAGCTTTCAAACAAGTGACAAGGTTTTAGGTCACATACAAATGAGGACAATTTTGTTACGCTTACTGATGACAGATCCACTAGTATAACAATATTTTCTAACTTCTGTTCCGGGCATGCAATGGCATATTTCACATCCCTAAACTAGGGGTGCAGAACATATGACCTGTTGGCTGCATGTGGCCCACCAACACAAAACATGGCCCATCGCTCCCACCACTAATCTTTTTACTCAGCAGGCATTGCGGGACTCCATCCCCTGTAAGGGCTGCCACTCTGAGCAAGGGGTCACCTCAGCAGTGTCAGGGCAGCTGGGTGCCAATGAAGCAGTGCCACAAAAGATGAGTGGCAATTCTTAGGCACTTCGCCAAGAGGCACAGATACCTGGGACCTAACAACAAAGCCGGCAACCAGCTGCCATATTTTCATTCATGGTACGATGCATGTATGATGTACATACAATGCCACCCCTTTTTTTAAAAAGGAAGCCATTTTCCCAGGTGTATGCACAGCTAGCACTCATAAAACACAGCCACCAGGCTGATTGGTGGCAAAAGCAATGGCACCTCTCTAGGAGCACACACTCACCAAAATTCAAGGATCTCCACACACACACACACACACACCCCTTGAGCAGAAGTAAATCTGAATAGCACTGATCTCTATTGGAAGTTTGACAGGCTCCCTCTTATTTCTAAGCACACAGCAACAACTGCTCATTTTCTAGTTTTTTCTCTGTCACTTTGAGAGAAGCAAACTTACAACATTACACTGCAGTTTTACAGAATGGGTCTCCTCCAACACTCTGTGGCCCAGGCCTTGCAGTTTTCAAGCCTATTGGACGTGAACTTGGGAGCCCTCAACCACAAATACTTATCAAGCAACTGGAAGACTGTTGGCCGCCAGGACTGCAACTTCCCACCCTCTCCCAATACCAATGAGGCCAACTGTGTAATCTGAAACATAGTTACACCCTTTTACGTCCATTAAAGTCAATGGGCTTAGAAGGGTATGCTTCTGTTTAGGACTGCTCTGCAAATTTGTTGATTAAGTAAATACTTAGCTGACTTTTGCATACTCAACTAAAACTAAATCAAAAGCTGGAGAGCTCCCTAGATTTCATCCTTCCCCCGTTTTCATGTTCATTTTGCCAATGGCTACCAAAACGAACCAGAGAAAAGCTCCTGAAGTCCTTCTGCATGTCATCACATTTAGAATGTGCTGAACTGTCTGCTGTCCTCATGAGTTTTTCTCTTAATCTGGAACTAGCATCATTTAGTTCATAGCAAATAACGGAGCGTCAGAAGCTGGGGAGATGCCAAGGGGAGAGGGTTAGATTGGTTTGATATGTTCCAACTGCTGGCAGAGGTTCATTTTAATTTATGTAATGTTCACAGATATGTTGATGAACAAAAAATACATTAACATGATAAATAAGCGGCTTTTGGGGAGAGCAGCCCACTCTAATCCTGGAGAGGCAGGGAAAGCAGAATTCACATTATAATTACTATCAGCTGAAGCAGCTGAATTTCTCTTCTGCAGCTTTCCAGGAAGCATCAAATTCATCTTGCAGGCACAGACAGCTTCCCACCCAGAGACTGTACAGCACCAGGGAAGAGCTAAGCAACCTGTGCAGGAGAGGAAACTGCAGAGAGAGGCAAAACTTCAATTAACAGCATTCCGATCCAGGATTCCTTCCTTAGACTCTCTTAGCACATCAGATCAATTGCTACAAATGTTTAACTCCCTTTTAGAACTTGATCCAGGTCTTGAAGTTTGTACAATTTCATCCAGATTCCACATCAGAATCCAGCTCTCTGTTGGCAAGTGTGCTTTAAATGTATTATTTGTGCTATGCTGATGCTTGTATGTCTGTAATGTCTCTGTATTTGTGTGTATGGGATTGGGGAAATGCTGTGTGCTTGGCAGTTTGCTTGCTTTGGCTGGCTTGCTGGCACCTGGAAGCTGCTGTGTGCAGGGCCTGCTCTGCCTGTATAGGCATGCTAATGGGCACATGCACTCACATCCATACCTTCCCATCCTGCCTTGGGACAAAGAAGACATTCTCCATAATGCTCAGCCACATGGACTCTTGGAAACAACAACGGGACCACCATGAAGGAGTTTCTACATGACATGTAACCCTTATCTGGTTTGAATCACAAAGATAACATCCTGTTTATTACCTTCTGGACCAGGCCAGCATCTGCAAGTCAAAGGTTACTATGGCAATACAACTTTGACACCTGACCATATGGCTCCCATTGAAGTTTAGGCTTAGATTTGAATATTGCCCCACTCCCCTCTAGGTAGATGTGTCACTACCCCTCAGCCTATAGGTATAGAGAAGGGGACGGATTGTAGGTGGAGGTTGGCTCTGTGCCAACCCCCCAAAGCTAGGTATTATAAGGCAAAGCACAGCCTTTGTTTCTGGGTTAGCTATCCAATTTCCTATTTCACCTTTGCAACTTAAGTCTACTGCAGGTGATTCTTAAGTGTTCTCTTGGGTCGCTACCAAGAGAACCCACACGTGTTTGGCTGGACCATTCAGTGTGATTCAGAGTCCCTAAAGATAGTACCTTTGTTCCTGTCCTCTCTGCTGAGAAGAGTTTACTTCTTGCCTGGAATCAGATAAGTATCAATCGCTACCCTTCTGTGTACTCCCTCATTGTTAGTCTGAAATTATGTGTGAACGCATCTGTTTTTGTGCGCTTGAGAAATCAACGATATTTAGTAAAGACAACATTTATTCTTTAAACATCAGCTGTGTTGTCTTGCTTCTTGGGAAATAGGAGAGTCTGTTCTGACTCCGCTCTCTGGATACACGGGTAAAACGAACTCACAGCCCACTGTCATATATAAGGCAGAGTTGGGCCACAGGAATAATCTCCACTAGGGGGAGTTCCGCTATCATCTCACCCTCAAAAGTCCTCAACGTAGTACTACCTCCAACTTTTATAGGCCTTGCACTGCACGTCTGCTTAGACACTTACACCACTTCTTTGTATCTCCAGGTCACGATGTGCTACTTAGCAAACAATGCAGTGCCACTGAATTGCCTTGACTTTCTGCTTTCAATCTATATTCAGCAATGTATTAAAACTGTGGCCACTTGAGCACCCAGCAGATGCAATTGATGAGCAACAGAGACCCAGCTTGTATGTCCAGAATCACTCTTAAAGAAAGCAAAATTATTAACTGGAAAAGAAAGATCATGAGCCTCAGGGCTTCCAGTTTCTGGGGTGGATCCTACTCTGATCTTATCACTCCACTGAACAAAGTTTATTCATTTATTCATTCATCTATTAAAATATTTATATCCCACCATTCATTCTGAGTCTTCCTCTAACTTAAGTGGCTCTCCCCTTGCAGCAAACAGCCAAGTCTCATGCTACAACAGCCATTCTTTTAAATGGATATTTTACTGTGAACCCCATCTGCCTAATCTTCACGGAATGATGTTGTAATCAGACACTGCTATCCTTGGCACATGGCTGCCAGGTTTCATCTGATAAGCAACTAATAACCCTGTATTGTTTTAAAGGAACAGTACGCGGCATCCATGAGTACAAGCAGATAATGACAGGAACAAAACAGGAGCTTGGACATTCTGATTGAGTTCCAAGCTCAACAGTCTATTTTAAGAGCAGCTGTAAATTAATTAATGGGGTGAACATGATTCTGACCCTTTCTGAGTAATGTCCCAGAGTCAAAGTTAGGCTGCAACTACATCCAATTTGTGAAGCTAACAGTGCCATCCTATGTAGAGTTACACCCTTCTTAATCTACTGAAGTGAATGGACTTAGAATGGTGTAACTGTGCTTTAGATGATACTGTGAGTAACCATGCTGAGAAGAGGTAAGTCTTACTGGAATACTATCAGCCTAGGGTAGCCGGCCTCAGAGACCTATCACTCTGCAATTAATCAAAATAGATAATTCAGATTCTTTGCACTTCATTCATTCTTCTTCCAGTGCTTAGTATACAATTTGCTATTCTGCCAAATAGAACAACTTAAAACTAAAGGAAGACTTATTTTCATGTCGCCTCTGATTTGAGAGGCACTCAATTCCTATACCCAAATTTACCTAGATTTTACTGGGATAACTGTCTCTGGAGTAACTGCAAGTATCC